TCTCATCATATGTACAGTTTGATACTTGTCACAACTTTTCTTTTTTATGAATATCTAAGTGTATTACCCTACCTGAATCAATGTCATCATTAAAGAATTCAATAATTTGGTCAGTGAAAAATGGAGCTTCAAGATGTCACTTCTAGATTTCTAATAAGAAGCCATGATCAGATGAATTCAGTTCATGTTGTGTTGGACGAATGAATTCAAGTATTTAGTTGCTACAATCTCCATGATACCACTTTCTGACAATCATCATCATGTGCTCACTAGTGATTGACTTCAAGATGTAACTTCTGGAGTTCTAGTGAGAAGCCGTGACCAGTGTCTGTTTTGAGATAATAACTCACTAAAGGTTATGGTGGACAGTGGCGACCATACCGTACCAATAAAATAGAAAATAACATTTATACAAGATTTGGTCAAATGTGGCTGTGAATGTGAGGAGAAAGTAATTAATAGACTGGCTATAACTCAGGAATGGTAAATTGCACAGTATTAGTCTATGGGTCAGAATAAAGCTCATAATAAAAGGAACATCAATATGAATAGTTTGGTTACTTAACAATTATAAAATAGGCAATATACATATCATATTAGTCCAGAAATAGTTCACAAAAGTTACCATTCATAATTCCCTTCGGGATATAGCAGTAGTTTATGTCGGTTTATGATGAAAATCCGAATTCCATTTCTTGATCCTAACTTTTTACTCTAACTCCTCGAATGTTTATTTCACACTAATTTACAAATGTTTTTCAACTCTAGTTAGTAATCGAACTTTCTTATGGACATTCAAATATAGCTCAAATGTGGCGTCCATAAATTTTATCCTCTTCGTCAAAGAGGGTATTCAGATCTTCCGCTTGATAGACTGGCATAAAAACAACTTCTAATTCCTCAATCAACGCTTTCCCTAACTAGCCTGAATATGATTGGAATTTTAGGTGCCTGTTTGTATGATTCAGGAGTCAGTAGTTGAGTGGATAACACGATGGCGTTTGAAACGAAAGGTACTGGGTTCGAGTCTCAGAGTGAATATCAACTCTGAGATGCAGGTACACACCTAGCTGACGTCCCAAATAGGACGAATCGTGCGTCCTGGATTCCTTGCTAACCACTATCCATCTTTGTTTAGTCAGTATAATATTTATAATTACAAAGTATACTACTTATTTATGACAAGTAAAAACAATGTATAGTAACAAATTTATCGAGCTGATATTCACTGGGGGGGGGTGTAAAAAACTACCTTTGACAAATAAAAGATTTACTATCTAATTCATAAAATACGAATTCAAATAGACTGCACAAACATATTTCGTAATACTGAAATTTTAGTTTCAAAGATGTTCCACGGAAATAAAAAACCGAAAGATATAGCAATAAAAGTACAAATAACTGGCCATCTTCTGACAAAAAACTCCTAATGAGTAGTCTTAATTTCCTCTCATTTAAGAGTAATATGAAAGTTTATATTAAATTCTAAGATTCAATAACGTTCTAAAGAGAGTCTGTGATGGGTACTTACACCTGTTACCCCTAGTAGAGGGGCATAGGCCGCCCGTTACCATTCTCTATCCAACTCTGTCCTGGACAATACCCTCTAGTTGTTTCCATTTGCTATTCATCCTCTTGATGTCTACTTCCAATTATCGACACAGTTTGTTCTTTGGTATTCTTCTTTTTCGTTCTAACTCCAGGATTCCACCTGCAGCTCTTCTAGGGTCACTCTCGGTCCCAAGCCCTACTATGGTGTTGGGTTGGGCATGGCGTCAGAAATTACATCCTGTAGAGAACAACCTTATTAAGAAAAACACTTACAAGAGGCTTCGATACTTGGAAATAAATCAGGATTTTGTTGTAAACATATACATTTTCTTTACCGAGTTGTCCCCACTTCTTCATATATATTCCTAAATAACGTTGATCTTAATTGTTGCCCGGAAGAAGCTCTGGCGATTTCATCAACAGAAGTGTTAGAATTATTTAAATTCAAATCTCCGAAATTATTTGATGTATGGTTTATAAGTTTAATGTCTTCTATACAACTTTCTAAGGATAATTGATATATACCAATAGCTTGGTCAAAAAGCACTTCTTATATACTTCTCAAATAAAACGGTATCGACGTTTATATATTCATTTTATCAAGACGTCTGGTAACCTTCAAGCTGATAGCCGACGGAATTCCTTTCAACACGATGTTTATTTAGTCTATTTGGAAATATATTTGATCATGAAATAAAGTAGCGCGTTGTCTTTAAACTACGGAATCAGTTCATACTTCATACTTCAGTTAAAATGATTATTGTTTCTTCAAACTAGACCAAAATATCCTGGATTTGATTCCATATAAAATGGTCAAGGCATATTACTGAACATTACATGACGAAATTGAAATAACTTTCCTACAGTAGTCAACTGTTTTCCTCAGATGTTACTGTGGTGAACAAGAACACGGGTGGGGACTATCTCAGTAAAATCTGATAACCATGCAGTAAACAGTTCATTTGCAAACTATCAACCAACCATTTCAATCTTGACTATTCCTTCTGTACATATCAGTCCATCTTCTCTGATTTCATTGTTCATGTATTTTCATAACAATTGCATTCCGTTCCGATTTTTTCTTTATCAAACTTCTAGTGAAATACATTCTCTGACTGACCATCATCATATACTACTTATGTGGATATAAGTAACCAATACTGCATTACAATCCTTTAACAAAACTTTATCTCTACAAACTATCCTAACGTAATTGTAAATTATTTTATTTCATTTTAACTCAATGAAATACTGATAAAATTTATACAATAATGATGCGATGTGTAATCTATCAATGTTAGACTATTAGTAAAAGTCTGGAACTACTGGACGGTTTTTAATGATTGTCCAACATTGATAAGGTTTGTGTTTTCAATGAAATTCAACAATCTCTACGACCCCTATATAAAAATTATGTATAATTATACATTTAATATTGAAGATTTTATTTTAATTTATTTATTTGAACATATAAATATTGGTACAAAGGGGCACCGAATATGTTAGCACCACACAAGTCACGATTTGTGTGTGAGTTATGATACTTCCCGACCACCCAGACTGAATCACATGGTTTTTTTCAGGGGACCACACATGTAGCATTCAACCTAAAGGTCCAATCCACAAAGCAATGGAGAATTGTTAGGAGATGCAGTCCCATGGTAGCCGGTCACCAACGATTGATTCATACGCCATTCGTTCCTTCAGGATACTGGAGCCCATGTGCACCATTAGTTTGGAATCAGGGTTTTCCAACTCCCCTAGGTGGACTCGCAGTGTCCACCAACCCGGTTAAAGCGCCGAGCATTCGCTTTCCGTGCTCTCGATTTCGTAAACAACACCCGTGGCGTGAGAAGGCAGTGAGTAGTACTTCCCTGACAGAGGCTATATATGCGTGTCCATGTGAGAGCATTTCGAGAAGGAGAGCGGACTCTCTCCACTCTCGGCCGTACCAAGGCATTTGGGGGCAATACATTTAAAACTGTCAAGTCAAACCTTGTTAATAATATACACACATCAAATGCAAATGAATAAAACAAGAAATGTTTCCATGTTGTTTCATCAAGATTCAGCTAAATCCAACTATACACAGTAGACATCACTAGAATCATTGTTGTACTATTGAAAAAAGGCGTTCAGCATAAATGATTGTGCACAAATGATTGGAATACAAAGTGTGTAATCTCTAGGTGAACTATAGGCTACTAGTTAGAGATGATATATCGATCTATGATAGTTTAATCTAATGAATAATGTGTTCGTGTTTCATTATTCTACAAAGACAAAAATTATTCTGATTCGTAAAGCTTACTAACAACCCAGTAGGTTGGAAAAAATGTTAAGGGCTATCATTACTATAAAGATCATATCATTTCATGGGGTCAGATCAGATCGTGGAATGAACCAATGTACATTTCTACTATGTTACATGTTATATATACGATTGATTGGTATAATTGTGATAATACAAATAAACTATTTGGATAACCATTAGTTTGTTTCAATATTCTGTGAAGTTCGTTAAAACAATAACATGGTCAGATTGGGATTCGTGGAGATTGTTGTAAATTTTATTAGTTGAATTCATGAGTTGATTAAAGCTAGACCATCACTAAAAAACCGGAAGTACTGGACGGTTGTTTCGTCCTCGTATAGGACACCTCAGCAGTGTGCTCCCACGATTTCACACACGGGATTTGAACCCAGGACCTTCGGTGTCGCGTGCTTATATCGACTCATGAATTCAACCATTAGGAATTACCACAATCTCTACAAACCCCATTCTGATCACAATCATCATGTGCTTCAAGATGATTTCCTGGAGCTCTAGTGAGAAGCCGTGACCAGTCGAGTCCAGTCCGTGTCAAGTAGAGACAGGTATCTTACTTAGACAACCGATGAATAGTTGTTCAGTCATTCATGGATCGATAGAAGTTAGATATTAACACCATTGGATGCCGACTCAGTGATATAGAGATTAAGCGTTCACGTGCAAGATCAAATGTCTTAGGTTCGAATCTCACGTGTAGGATCGTGGATGAGCACTGCTCAGGACTCCTATACTCAAATGAAACGGTTACCTAATGTTTTCAGATTCTCAATAATGGTCTAACTTCCATCGACCCATAAATTCAACCATTAAAAGTACTCTACCGTTATCATGTTTATCAATCTACATGCTTCTTATTTATTTGACACAAATCGATAAATTTCAATCCGTAGTTAGACATGTACGCACAAAACTATGCATGTCTGTTCATATTTGTGTGCGTGTGTATGTATGTTTATGTAAACATTGTAATATATGTGCGTCATAAATATGGTCTAACATTAATCAACCAATCAACATTTTGTATTTGTAAAAAATCAATATTTATTTTTTTCTAATTTTTTTTTCAAAATTCAATATTCAATTGATTATAGCGCAGCATTGCAGAGAATTCAAATAAATGAATGAACAAACTATGCCATATTTTAATTTAACAATAAATGGAATTAATGATTATGTAAATATACAAAAATTAATTTTATTATTATTTCCAAAATATGAAATAAAGAATATTGTTGTCAAGGTAATAATTATTGTAACTATCTATTAGGGAAATTATTATAATATCTATGACACACACGCCCCCCCTTCATTTTGATATTAATCATTATATACACATTAGTGACTGGTTTCATGAGAAAATTCTAGTGAGTAATTGTGATTGGTGGAGTCTGCTGTGGGGCAGTGACTCATTGAAGATAATGATGCATGGTCGAGCAATATTATGGATTGACTGAAATTAGACATTAACACCGTTGTATGCCAGGTCATCGGTCTAAAGGTTAGGCATCCACGCGCGAGAATGAAGGTCCTGTGGTATGTATTTATTCATATGGAATCGTGGATGCGCACTGCCATTGAGGAGTTCCACAATAGGACAAAACGGTCATACAATACATTCAGGTTTCCCATATTGTTCTAGCTTCAATTGACTCATGAACTTAACTATTAGGGAAATTATTATAATATCCATAAACCCCCCTCCTTTATTTTGATAATGATCATTATATACTCATTAGTGACTGGTTTCATGAGGAAATTCTCTAAGTTCTACTGAGAAGCTGTGGTTGGTGGAGTCGAACCATGTCTGTTGTGAGGCAGTGACTCATTGAAGATAATGATGGATGGTCGATCAATATTATGGATTGACTGAAATTAGACATTAACACCGTTGTATGTCGGGCCATTGATCTAGAGGTTAAGCGTCCAAGTGCGAGAATGAAGGTCCTGGGATTTGGATTCTGTTTATGGTTCGAGATTGGTAGGTCCTTGGTTCGGATCTTGCGAGGTGGGATCGTGGACGAACACTGTTGGAGAGTTCCGTCCTGGGACGATACTGCCGTCCAATACATCTAGGTTTCCCATGTTGATCTAGCTTCGATTGACTCATAAACTTAACTATTAAATTACTATAATATATCCACACACACACACCCTTTCTAATAATTATGTAATTCATTATTTTCTAAATTTTTATTTGACAGGTTTTAAATAAAGGATATTCAAATCAATTAATCCGAATTGATAATGTTCCCCAATCATCATTACTTATTCGTATCTATGGTGATCTAACAACATCATTAATTAATAGAACCAATGAAATGAAATATATTCAAATAGTTGGCAAATTAAAAGGCTATCAACATATATATGGAATATTTAATAATGGTTTTGTATATTCCTATATTGATGGTAATGATATTACATTAGAAAAATTATCTGATATAAAATATGGCAGGTAAAAATAATTTTTTGATAAGTAGAAAGGGGGGTTTTGTAGAGATTTCAGTAGTTTCATATAATTGAAATCATGAGTGAATTGATGTTAAACCATCATGGAAAACCTGAGAGCATTGGACGGCCGTTTCGTCCTATTTTAGGATTCCTCAATGGTAGTGTGCATCCACAATCCTGCCTCTCGAGATATCGAACCCAGGACCTATCAGTCTCGCGCCAGAGCACTTAACCGATAGATCACTGAGCTGGTTGGCATCTAATGGTGTTAATGTCTAACTTCAACCAACCCACGAAGTTTGAGCAACCGTTCACCAATTGTCTTCAGTGAGTTGATATCTCACAACAGACGTGGTTGATAAGTATTTATTCATCAGGAAAACTATTATCAGTATAAGGTTATGAGGGTTATTAATTTTTTGATTAAAGTCATGAACTAATTGATGCTCAACCGAAGGCCTTAGGTTTGAATCCCGCGATCGAGCTCGTGGATGAGTATTGCTGAGGAGTCCTACAATAGGAGGAAAAAGCCGTCCAGTTCTTCCAGGTTTTTCATAATGGTCTAACATCAATCAGTTCATGATCTCAAGGAAAATTATTATTCTACATTCTAAAATGACTTAACAATTGATTGAGAGATTTGATTTTCATAACAATATGATAACGATCTATAGTCGTTTGTATAATATTGAAACTTCTTTCAAACAAAACTAAAACTCACTTAAACATTCATTTAAATGAATTTTTAATAATGTACAAATATCTCATCGTATCGATAGATGGTTGAAGATGATAATTAAGAAACACTGGACCTAAGTTTTTTACTAATTTATAGAACATTTCTATTGTTTTGTAGTAGACTGATGCTCCCAGTATGATTCGAGGCTTCATCATACTGAGTTACAATCAGAGATGTTATCAATTAATTATTTGAGTCGGGATTGACCTCTTATAAGACTTGAACTTTTATAATTGACTGATCAATAAGTAGTGACCATTGTCATGTTTGTCTAATTATCAGTGTCGATCAGTTTCTAACGATCAAGTTTCAGAATGTTTTGTGGTTCATAGATATATAAGAGGAATGTCAATGTAAACATTGAGAAGGGGTTTTGTGGAGATTTAGTATTTTCATAGTTGAAATCATTAGTCAATTGAAGCTAGACCACCAAGGAAAACCTGGAATCGAGGTCGTGGATGCGCACTACCACTGAGAAGTCCCACAATGGGACGAAACCTCCGTCCAGTGCTTCCAGATTTTACTTGGTAGTCTAGCTTCAATTGACTCATGCTTTCAACTATGAAAATGTAAACATTATCAAAACCAATCAGTACTTATATACAAAATAAGAGTTTGTACTAAAAAAATTATCAATTTTCACATAATGAAATCAGGTTAATTGCAGAGAGAATGGCTCAGTTACATTGTTTACCTATTGATGAATTCATTCAGAAAACACAAAATGATACATTAATTGAGAAGAGTAAACCAGAATCTCAACTATTTCCAACAATTTTCAAATGGATAGACCGACTTGACGAGGAATTCATCGATTCGTCAAGGAATATTAAAAAGTAAGTTTTGAAATTAATTGTATTACTGTTAATACTACTATTGTTATATGTATATATATCAAAAGTACAGTCCGACCGCGTCGGAAGCAAATCATTTACACGCCCACAACAATGGAAGGTGATTGCTAAATATTACAGAATGACTGAATTTCGAAAGGGAAGCTGTCGGTTAATAATTCAATGGTCTAAATGTTAAGCTCTTGTTATGATGTCCTGAGTTCGATCCCCAGTTGAGGAATATCACTAGGTTGTTCCATATAATGACGAAACTCTCTAGTGCCTCCTGGTTTTCAACAGTTATCTAGGATTAGTTAATGATGTAAATCGTAAAATTCGAGAATCTTCACATTGCTTATTCCACTAATCATGTTATGAGTACTGTATATGAAATACAGATAGACTTGACGACATCATTTTTCGTTCTTTGAATGACAGTAGTCATTTGGAATTTTCTCAGTAAAGCCAGTTATGAATAAGAAATTAAATTGATGCCTCAAGTGATGTCTAAATTAGAAAATATACATTACTAATAGCTAACCCATAATTAATAGAGAACAAATCAAAAGGTGAATAATTACTAAGCAATATTTAAGGGATAACATGTTGTATGAGAATAGAGAATGAGTTCTATGGAATACAGGGATACAATAATCCAGTTATACGTGAATGAAATAAGCAGTAATACTTTTTAAAGGAGTTCTAGACGTTTCACTTGAAGTCACCAATTTTTAGTCTGAGTTATGTTGGTAGATGCAGACTACTTGGTTGGGGTCCGCGTGACTATCGTAACCAATGGTTGGAGACTGTGTGTGACATGGCTCAGAATCGATCACAGTGGTGTAGGTGTATATACTCTTTATCTTCCCTTAAACCTTGAGATTAAAATTGCTTCATAACGTTCTTCCTTCCTATACTATATCCTTATATACAACTTATTTTTTATATACTACCACCACTACTAAATTAACTACTTCTATGAATTCGGTGAACATCTTGTTGTGGTAATGAGATATGGCAACTTGGACCGATGCACATATGTGTCTGGTCCTACGTTGTAGCTGACTGGCTGACTACATCCGGCACTTATCCACTAAATAAACAAAAATTTGAGAAACTGCACACATATTGAACATTTAAAACATTCGATGCGCTACAAATTCACAAACTTCCATGTTATGTCCTTGTTATTAATTCTTTCATTCCATTTATTATAATTTGTTACGAATTCCTTTTTTTTATCAGAATGGGGATTTGTGGAGATTGTAATAATTTTAATAGTTGCACTCGGTCTGGGCACCCGGGCAATATCATAGCCCTCATACAATTGTGTAGCGCATATATATCTGGTGCTCCCTTGTTCCAATATTTATGTGTTCAAATAAATAAATAATAATAATAAAAAACATCAGTTGATGCGACTTAGACCACCATTGGAAACCTGGTAGCACTAGACAACTGTTTCGCCCTAGTATGGGACTCATCAGCAGCAGTGCGCATCCACGTTCCCACACGTGTGATTCGAACCCAGGACTTTCGACTTCGCGCTTGAACGCTTAACCTGTGAACCACTAAGCTGGCATCCAACGGTGTTTATGTCTAACTGCTGACGAGTCCCTTACTGGGATGAGATGGCCGTCCAGTGCTTCCAGCTTTTCTGTGTTGGTCTAGCTTCAACCGACTCATGACTTCAGCAATTAAAATTCTTTTTCTCATTGTTTTCACGGTAAAATAAATTGACTTGATTGGTATGATATATTTATACATCAATTTTAGTATTATTGTATACTAGAGTAAACTCTAATGAAGACCAAGTTGAAAATAATCTTGTTCGTTTGTACATGTGTCATTTTTAAATTTAAACTTCTGGAATTTCTAATATTTTAAAATACATGTTTATTTTAAAATGATTATGTAGGATCCGTTCAAGCTGTTGTATGATTTCCTCATAGATATTGATACTAACTGGAGAAATATTGAAAACTAAAGAGTACAACTTAGATGTGTTGATCAATAACCTGAACGTGGAATCAACGATAGAATCTTTTGATACAAATTTCATGTATTAATTCACTTTCTATATTTTGAAAAGCCTTCAAATGCCCCGTTATGGTCGAGGGTGGGGAGAGTCAAATTTTCCTCTACAAATGCTCTCACATGCCCACGTGCATACAATCACCGCCAAGGAAATCCTACTCACTTCCTTTTCACAGCATTACTGTTGTTTACGAAATTGAGAGGACGACAAGAGAATGCCTAGAACTTTAATCGGGTTCATAAATATAGAGGATCCATCTTGGGGAGTTGGAAAACCCTCATTCCAAACCACTGGTTTACATAGACTCCAGGATCCTGAAGTAACAAATTGCGTATGAACCGATTGTTAATTATTCACTGAGATACTCACCAACAAATACGATTGTTTTATCTCATTTTATATCGATCAAAGGATAGATTAGTGATTTGAGATACTTGATGTTAATTATTGTTTGAATCCGAAAATCCTGGATTCAGTTTCAGAGTAAGGATTCAGAGTTGCGCACTGTTAAAATGTCTCGTACGAAGATGAAACAGCCGTCTATTGCTCCAAGGTTTTCAATGGTCATCTAACTTAATTCACTTCGTGATCTCAATAACACAAAACATTTAAAAGTTAAAGTTTATGTTGAGGTTCTTTGCATTTCTTTGTTGAAATGACCATTGACTTCCATCTGTTGTCTTAGTACTAATTTAGATATAAATTCAATAACAAACGATGTCGAGGATAACGGCAGTTATTAAGATGACTTATTTTTAGAACCATAATTGTTAGTCAATAATATCAGTGAAAATAGCTAGTTAGAAAAGCTTTTCACTGAAACTAACCACAGTTCCCAATTCTACAATTATCCTATCATAGAACTGGAAATGAGGATAGATTTCCTTAATTCGACTTTGAGTTGACCTATCTATACTAAATTATCTGTTTTTCCATTGTAACTTACTGATTGAACGAATACACTCCTGACCTGCAGAAGCGATGTTTGATGTGCTTCGGTTTTGTAACAAAATAAGTACTGGAAAAGTTGAAATGTCTGGAGTCAGTCAGTGAGTCGGCTACAACGTAGGACTAGGCACATATGTTCATCGGTCCAAGTTGCCATATCTCATTACCACAACAAGATGATCACCGAATTCATAGAAGTAGTTAATTTAGTAGTGGTGGTAGTATATAAAAAATAGGTTGTATATAAGGATATAGTATAGGAAGGAAGAACGTTATGAAGCAATTTTAATCTCAAGGTTTAAGGGAAGATAAAGAGTATATACACCTACACCACTGTGATCGATTCTGAGCCATGTCACACACAGTCTCCAACCATTGGTTACGATAGTCACGCGGACCCCAACCAAGTAGTCTGCATCTACCAACATCACTCAGACTAGAAGTTAATGACTTCAAGCACTGATACCACGTTTTTTGTTTGGCCGTCCTCAACTCTCTTCCAACCACTGCCAATACTAGTCAGCATATCGTGTCGTGGTAATCGGTGTTCAGGCATACGTAACACGTGGCCTATCCATCTCAGTCGATGAAGAGCGAAATGGATTGTTTTCCCCCAACTCCATTATCCGGTACTTCATTTCTTCATGATTAAACTTTGGGTAAAGTTATATAGCTGTATGGTGAATCAACCAAAGAAAGGGAACTGCAAGTTTGCTCCTAATTTTCATGTTATCATAGATCCATTATCTTGTGCTCTTTGAATTTGTAACTTTTCAGATATGAATCAATTTTTCCAAGTAAATCTTATGTTTTAAATGAAGTAATCCAATTGAAAGATCAATATCTTTTCAATCCTATGTCTAAAGTAGTTTTATGCCATAATGACTTGAATGCAGCTAACATTATACTATCTCCAGATGGAAGTGAGTACAATTTCTTAAAAATGTTTCGAAATATATCATATACTACTTTAATATATTTGTATATATGTAATGTTGAGACCCAACGAGAATCCTTCAGTTCACTCTTTGGAATTCATGGAAAACTCAGAAACGTTTTTTAATCATTAGCCATTAAGAACTTCCCGGGAACATGTACAAAATCAGTGGATTACTTGACACACTTTAACTGGATGATCAACTTATTTGTTATTAGGTCTAATACGCTTTTAGAAGTTTAGGGAAGGTCAAGGTTACCTAACAACCTAAGAAAACTATGATGTTAAACTTCTATTCGTACTTCACATCTATTCTTCCCTGTTCAATACTAAACTGTTGGGGGAAATATGGAGATCTAGAAAGAGGCTAAAAAGTCATTAGCAAGCGTTCGAGTTTAAGATGCATATATATATATATATATATATATATATATATATATATATATATATATATATATATACCAAGACTAATTACTACTGTCACACAGTAGCCTCAGGACTCAAGTGTAATCACTCAAAGTTTATTTCTATTGAGACTCGAAACCTTAGTAAACAAGAACATTGGAAATTCATACATAGGGTATTCAATAAATAAAACTTTTACTCTTCAGTTGTAACCCTCCGTGTTAACAAAGTTGGCTAGCGTACAGCAAAAACTAAAGATCATCATGATAGATCAATAATGTATTTAGAGAAAACGTTTTTCACATCTAATTCATAATTGTTTGAAGTACTTTAATTGTATCGGTATACACTGGTACTCACTTCTACTTACCTAATCAACTAACCAATCTGGTTTTGGTCTTATTTCTTTCTTGGACAACAAATAATGTTCATTCCAAATTACCGTAATATGTTTACTTCTAGATCAATTGGATTTATTCATTAATATTAGAGTACTACTTGTTAAATGATCGTTTTCAGTGTTTTCGAGTCCAACGGATATCAGCTCTATGCTCTAACGATTGAAGTAAGTTATTTAATAGAATTAATGATATTGTTTCATCTGATTGTACAATTTTCAGAGATATCCTAAGTTAAATACAATGAGGGAACATTTAAGACTCTAGATTCAGAACGTAATAATTGAGTGATTATAACATTTCAATCTTAAACTTTGATGGATATATATTTTCACAGTTTTAAATAACGAACTGATCTTAGTTAAACTGTCATTGTGTTATATCCCCTGGTGAATTATGAATGGTAACTCTAAGGTCTATTTATCGACCAGTGTATTATGCCTATTTCTTATTGTACAATTGTTACGTAACTAAACTATTCATATTCCTGTTTTCTCTTATCATTAGCTTTATTTTGATCTTTGATTTATGATCATACGATTCTTGAGTTATAATCAGTTTATTGATTACTTTGGTTTGTATAAGAACCCAGTATGCTTGTAAATAATGATTCATATTGCCAAGGCTGTTATTTGTGTTCTGGACTCAACTGGCTGGGCTAGGCGTATAGCAGGACCGATACGCAATCAAGACTGCTCGTACGATTTCAAGTATCATTTGCGTCCGATCAATAAATCCGCTCCTTCTCCAATTGCACGTTCTTATAAATTACGAGCCCATACGAAATAACAACTGGCGACGGGGTAAAAAATGGCTCTAACTTTCGATCAATTTCAGTTACTAATCCAGCGACAATAGCAGCGCTTTAGAAAGAGTCAAATGGAATTCATTGACAAGTTACATGCAAAGCTACTGAATCACCCATGCTTTGGGGGTGCAACGGAAGTTGACGCATTAATTTCAAAATTGCGTACAGAACTGGAAAACGATTGCAGAAGAAATGAATATGCCAGTGAAAGCCTCTATGAATCCGTGAAAAGCAGTAATTTAAGCGAAACAATAGCAGTCACATATGATCAGCTCAGTAGTCCAGTATTGTCGGTTTCAGAGGCATGCCCTATACGTGGCTCAGATCCTACTATCCCTGAAACAAAACGTGCGAACCATGAATCGTCCAGTTCACAGAAAGACAATATCTTATTAAGCGCCCATAAAATTGCTGCAGTACCCGCCCACGAAGAAACGGGGAACAAACCGAACAGTATAGTGAATACAGTGGCGCCAAATCAAACTAGTCATGATGCAAAAAAAATTTTTAATGAATCTAATGATCAAGATTATCTAATTGTTCATATCATAAATCAAAGATCAAAGAAAGAAGGCCGTAACCAACGACTAGAAAAACTTAAGAGTGAGAGCGTTCAGCCGACAAGGGTGATGAACAGAAAAGCGAGAACAACAACAATGCTTCAAGAAAATCCAAAAAGAAATTCATATGTCACAGACTTCAAAGGGGGGGGGTGTACGTTGAACTCTATATTCAGATCCTAAGCTATTCGGATAACCCCAGGCTAGCACTACTCTGCGACTTGAACACCAGTAAGAAGACACGAGTATGAGAGAAGTACTTTACTACAAGGTTCATTTATGTACAGAAAAACAGGGGTTTTATAGTAATTAAAAGACCTTGAGATTCCATAGTAGCAGTATGTTAAACAGCCAATCAGGACCTCGTTATTGTAGTAGCATAGCTTCTAACTAATCGCTGATTGGTTGGGCTCTTTATGAGCCTCTGGAGGCCCTGATAGAGTTTACTGTAAGCTGACTTAACACATTGAAAATATAGTAGTACTGGATGACCGTTGCGTTATGTTGGGCTCCTCAGCAAAGCCCACCCACGACCCCTCCTCCGGAAATTGAGCCTCAGAACTGTAAGCTCCGTGCGTGGATGCTTGGCCTCTAGACAACTGAGCTGAGGGAAAATTCCATCTAATACTTCCATGTTTTCAATGATGGTCAAACTTAGATCAGTAAGTACTTTAAAACTGAGGAAACTCTGCAGTCTCCACAAACATTGTATATTTATGATACATATTTATCGGTCAGAAAGTCATAATCAACGTAAAATTTGGTATATGTGTGTTGAGAAAAATCCACACACTACAATTGCACAACGTGATGTATTTTAGAAGACAAATAGCAAAACGACTGAACTAATCGTAACAGTAGTGATCATTAGAGAGAGTAAAAATTTGAGAATATGGTTCTAGATGATAAAACAAAAAGGTATTTACGAAGGAATACTAAAACCTAAGGTTTAGAGCAGGATAAAGTGTAGATGCATCTGGTCCACTGTGATTGATTCCATGTCATGTCGGCCAACGTGCCGAACCACTGATCGCAGTTTTTATGCGGACCCCAACCAGGCCATCAAAATCTACAAACGTAGCAGAAACAACAGTCAATGACCTCGTAGACTGATGCCATGTTTTGGTTTGACCTCTTATATTTTTACGTGATTCTGCCTTTTTTGTGATCAATTACATGTATTTTAATGAATGTATGTGATATGATTACGTTCCGGTCACTGTAAAGCGAACTTCTCTACACTGTGGCTTTATGTAATTATTGGATAATATGTCATATAACTCTTTCAACCTTTTTGAATGTAATAATGTTCCTGGAAACTTGAGCTGGAATATTTAATACAGGACAGTTTATCTATGTGTTTAAACTTCCTTGTCTACTAACAAATGTAAGTGAGAGGATCGGTAAATTCCAGTGATCACTGGATAGCAGTCCTGGGCTTTAACTCTGACAACTTGTTGAATGCATATGCCTGAAACGTCCTAAATAGGAAAACTGTTTAGTACCTAGTGATTACTAATTGTTCTGTAAAACCTGGTGTTTGTTCAAATTAATTTCACATTACTCATTTAATTTTATGAAGGGAAAATGTATTTTTGTTTATATATCTGTAATTTTTTTATGCTTCAATAGATTCTGTTCACTTGATTGATATGGAATATTGTGACTTAAACTATGCTGCATACGATATTGGTAATCACTTTTGTGAATTTACTGGTGAGTTTTCATTCAGATTTCATTGCTGTTTTGAGACACTGATCAATATTATTTATTGGATTCACCAATCAGAATTGCGACCAGAATGTTCCTTATCTCTTGGCGATGATTCTATTAATGGCCAAGTGTTCTAGACTTTATTAATCACACTTCTGAACTACATAGTTAACCTTCAATAAACCTAAACTATGTTAATATTGATCCATTATTCTCAAGTCTTTATCTACATTCTCCCTTGAGTTTGTAGAGAAGTCAAACGCCAACTTCTGTGAACATTAAACTACAAACGTTTGTGCATTTATACACAGACATACTAGATCGCATTGCACCATAAAAATGAAGGATCACAACTGTGCATAAACAAACTTATTTTTTACATATTGTTAACCAGCCCCCAAATGCCAAAAGAGTCCGCTCTCCCACTCCAAATGCTCTCACATGGCCACGCGTATATAGCCTCTTCCAGGGAAGTCCTACTCACTACCTTCTCACGCCTAGGGTGTTGTTTACGAAATTGAGAGGATGAAAAGCGAATGTCCGGCGCTTTAACCGGGTTGGTCGACACGGCGAGTCCACCTAGGGGAGTTGGAAAACCCTGATTCCAAACCAATGGTGTACATGGGCTCCAGTATCCTGAAAAAACAAATGGCGGACGAACCAACTGTTGGTCACTGGCTACCACGGAACTGCATCTCTTTAAGTTGGTCCACTGCCTTGTTGATCAGACGTTTAAGTCAAAGGCTCTGTATATAACACCCTAAGAAAACCACCTGCTTCGGTTTGGGCACCCGGGCAGTATCACAGCCCACACACAAATGAATGAAATTATGAACTCTATTGACGATAATATCCCTGGTCAAACTAAAAGCAAGACAATTAACATTATTATTATTATTATTATTACCTTTATTATTATTATTATTATTATTATTATTATTTACCATATCGCTAACTCACCCCCTTTTATCCCCAATTTGTGTAACCTTACTTTTCAACTTATGCAGCAGCTCGCCCATGGTGGAAAATCTGTCCTATCTAAACGATCTCCAGTCACCGTCTGGTTGAAAGTGAATGCTCCCACCGATAACGAATACTGAAGCAGTCTTTCTGAAACCACGTACGCCATTCAAGCTGCCTTCCTTCAACGTTCGCACACTAATGCAGATCGGACAACAGATGGGGCTGACTTTGTTTTTAGAAAGTCCCAATGTTGACGTTTGCTGTCTATCCGAGACCCGTATTCAAGACTCTAGTGAAGTACTACAAATCCGCTCTCCATCTGTCGCTTCGAAAAGCTTGTTTCACGTGCGCTTATCCGGGGATCCTGTGGCATCTTCGTCTGGTCTTGCAGGCGTTGGTGTTGCACTAAGCGCTAGGGCTGAGGCAGCACTAATCGATTGGATTCCCATTAACAGTCGGTTATGTGCTGTTAGATTAGAAAGTTCCATCAAAGTGAGGAGAAACCGGTGAGAGAAACGGTGTCTTTTTGTCATCTCCGCCTATGCCCCGACAGATTGCAGCCCGGATGCAATCAAGGATAAGTTTTACCACCAGTTAACAGTTCTTCTCCAGAAAGCGCGTTCGACAGATATTGTAGTATTAGCCGGAGACTTGAATGCTCAGGTCGGGCGTCTAGGCACAGAAGAGAGTCGTTTAGGTGGCCGATGAGGACTTGTTGGTCGCAAGACAGGTAACGGGGACCGTTTGCTGCAACTGTGCACAGACCACAACCTGTTTCTGGCTAGCACTAACTTCCGGCACAGTCATCGCCGGTGTGCTACCTGGTGTCCTCCCTCTGCATCTCAAGCCTGGACTCAGATTGATCACATCGCGATCAGCTACCGCTGGCGTGGTTGTGTACAAGACTGCCGCTCCTTTTGGAGTACCTATCTGGAGTCTGATCATGCCTTGGTCTGCGCCAATCTCACCTTACTCTTCAGTGGCCGAAGGATTGACCACCACCAATAGATTGATGTTAGTAAACTGGCTTCAACTTCGGTTGCAAGTAAGTATCGAGCGGAGCTAGCCTCTAGGCTAGCTACCATCCCACCGAAAAGTTTAGATGAGCATTGGTTGCAATTTCATGACGCCATGAAAATGGCGAGTAAAGCCGCTTGCGGCTTCGCGAAACGTCCCGCTTACAAGCACTGGGTTTCTTCTGGCTCCTTACAACTGATGGAAGCCCGTCGGTCTACTCCGGGTGACCGTGAGTTTGACCACAAACGAAGGCTGTTACGTAATGAAATCGGGCAAAGCTTGTGTAAGGACCGGGAAGCCTGGTGGTCGGAGCGTGCTAATGAGATGGAAGCAGCAGCTGCATCTGGTAACTGCCGGAAGCTCTTCCAACTCATCCGAGCCACTGGCAGCAAGAAGTCTGGTGTGAGTGAAACAATCTACGAGGATGACGGGATGCCAATCACTAACATCTCTCGACGTCTTGGACGATGGGCGGAATTTTTCGAAGGGCAGTTCAACTGGCCTGCTGCTCCGGCAACATCAACCAGCTTGTCCTGTCCCCCATGGTCGGTGACGACTGATCCACCAAACGAGGCGGAAGTCCGCAAGGAACTCCAACTCTTGAAACGTTACAAATCACCGGGTCCAGATGACTTACCTCCAGCTCTTTTTAAAGATGGTGGTGACTTTCTGACTAAGGAATTGACTATGTTGTTCACAAAGGTTTGGTAGCTAGAAAGTGTTCCAACATCATGGAATGAGTCAATAGTCGTCCCTATCTTTAAAAGAGTTTCACGTTGTTCCTGTAATAACTATCGGGGGATAAGTCTACTTCCGATTGCGTCCAAACTATTGGCTTCTATCATTCATCGTAGGTTGTTTAAAACCCGAGAACGATTGATTCGCGAGGAGCAGGTTGGTTTTCGTTGTGGTCGAGGATGCGTTGATCACATCTTCACCCTCTGCCAAATGTTAGAACACCGTCTTACGTATCACACGTCAACAATCTCACCATTCCTCTTCAACTTTGCCATCGACGACATCCTGGAGACAGCTCTGATGGATGTAAGTAATGGCGGTGTGGATATGTTGCCTGGAGAACGACTTCTCGACCTCGAGTATGCGGATGATATTGTCTTACTGTGTGATAATGCTCAAGCCATGCAATCCGCACTTAATCAGTTGGTAATCAGTGTCCGCAGGTACGGCATGTGCTTTGCACCCTCCAAGTGCAAGGCACTCCTACAAGACTGGCAGTATTCTCATCCTGTTTTTACCCTGGATGGTGAGCAGATTGAAGTAGTTGAGAAGTTCGTGTATCTAGGTAGCTACATAAGTGCTGGTGGTGGCGTGAGTGATGAGATTGATGCACGTATAATGAAAGCCAGAGCGGCTTATGCCAATCTGGGCCATCTTTGGCGCCTTCGTGATGTTAGTCTGGCTGTAAAAGGTCGGATCTACAACGCGTCGGTGAGAGCAGTTCTGCTCTGTGCTTGTGAAACCTGGCCTCTCGGAGTTGAGGATGTCAGACGTCTCTCTGTGTTCGATCATCGTTGTCTCCGAAGGATTGCTGACATACAGTGGCAACACCATGTTAGTAATGCAGAGGTTCGGCATCGTGTGTTCGGGCGCAGAGACGATAATTCAATTGGTGTCACCATCTTGAAACACCGACTTCGGTGGCTTGGACATGTCTTACGAATGTCGTCCCAGAGACTTCCACGTCGTGCATTATTTGCCGACCCTGGAACTGGTTGGAAAAAGCGGAGAGGAGGTCAGTGTATGACATGGTGTCGTGGCATGAAAGAGAGCTGCAAAGGGCTAGCTTCTGTTGGTCCTTCACGACTCCTTGGTTGGGGTCCGAGAGATGGTGCAACACAGTGGCTAGAGACGTTATCAGATATGGCTCAGAATAGAAGCCAGTGGCGATCCTGCTGTAACCTTCTACTTTCTTCATAAAGATTGGCTATGACTTTCCTACCTGAGAGAGCTCTTCTGGTTGTACATTTCAGTCCGCCTTATCTTTTCATCCCTTCTCTTCCTACTTTCATTATTTTGTGTGGCGAATATGTATCTGGTGCCCTTTTGTACCAATATGTATGTGTTTAAATAAATAAATAAATATTTTAATTGTGACCATTCATTATAGGACCATATGCTACAGAATTTCAACATTATCCATCAATTGAATATCAAAAGGAATGGATCAATGCATATTTAACTGCTTATTATAAATATTCTCAATCAAAATTAGATTTACAATTGAATATATACACAGAAGATTATATAAATCAATGGCTTAAGGAGGTTAATTGTTTTGCATTGGTAAGTCAAATTACTTTAACTGATATGAATCATATTATAATTCAGTGAACTTTTGAGTAGTTCACATAGATGAATAGATGGACCAGGACTCAGACGAACACTTAACCACTCTAATTGATGAATTGGTTTGTAGTAGTACATTTTTTGTTACCATTGTGATATTTCGTAAAGTGATTAAAGTTGAAATCAGATAAATAAATGATGACGAAATGGTTCTAATGGTTTTCGATGTTTTCCTTTTCCGTTAGTAAGGAAAACTTCCTTTTGATTTGCATCACTGAAGATCTAAATTAAATGTAATCATATTGAATTGACTGTTAAAATGAATAAGACATATTTTCATAGTTGAAATCATGAGTGAATTAAAGCTAGACCACCATGGAAAACCTGGAAGCACTGGACGGCCGTTTCGTCCCAATGTGGGATTCCTCAGTGGCAGTGCGCATCCACGATCCCGCACTAGCAAGATTCGAACCCATGACCTATGTCAAAATCTAGTTTTAGATAATTAATCAGCCAGAATAGACAGAAAAATCTTCAATTCCAACAGATATTCATAAACGTTCAAACTTGTTTTGTAGACAAAGGCAAAAGCTTATTTTGTATAACATTAGTTTGAAATGAGAAAGTTATATGTCATGATAATATAGTCAAATCAATGAAAATGAAACCATTGCTAACTTACCTGTTTACTAACGCCTGTTACCTCCAATGGAGCATAGGCCTCCAACCATTGATCGAAATCCATGTACTAATATAGTGAACAAGAGCTCGGGTGGCGACAATCGAATATATTTAAGAACAAATTACAGACAATTTCACTAAATTCTGATAAGCATACAGTAAACGGTTAATTTATAAACTATAAATTAATTGTCTCAATCTTAACTGTTTGTTCTGCAAATATCCATCCATAGTCTCCGATTATAATTGTTGATATATTTTCGTACCGATTGCGCTTCATTTCTGTTCTTTCCTTATCGATCTTCTGCCAAAATACATTCTATGTCTGACCCTCACTATTATACTACTTATAGGAGTATAAGTAGAACACACCACACTATGTATCTTAGATTATCTTGCTGTATGATCTGAATAATTCCATTTATATAGTTTTCATAATTTTCAAACCAGTCAACGTACGTCTTCAAGTATGTTATAAATTTTAAGGTGGTTAAGAAGAAATATATGAGGATTTATATTTATGCTCATTCATCCCAGTTAACAAGGTTGTGTTCTCTTCCGGTATACTTATGACTCAGCTAGATGTGAAGTACTGAAATAAGAAGTAAACTATTTGTGTAGTTCATTACCATTCTTCTTCAACGATTATGTCAGTTCACTCATGTGTATTCTTTTCAGGCACATTTTTTGTATTATCTTCAAAGAAGTATTCTTAAGAACATCAGATCCTTTCTAATCCATTTAACAAAGAGTCGTCTTTAAGGATCATACTAATATTTATCAGTTTTGTGATTTGGTAACATTGTGTATCTTTCGATTATATCTCAAAGTTTACTCTACCTACTTGGAATCCGATCATAAATCATAGTTTGATTTCTTTTGTTGCATAGATTAAAAGCATTTAAGACCACTTGAAGTAACTGACTGGATGATTGTTATAATATAATGGGTTGAAGTAATTTAAACGGTTATAAGCAACGGTTTAGTACTACTGATTGATCACGGAGTGATAACTAATTTCATTCTCTTTCTAGTCCTTTAGCTCTGATTGGATTCTGTTAAGTAGTTTACCGTATGATAACTAGTCTGAGTAACCAGAAACTACGTTAAAACTTCAAAGGTATGGGGGTTATTGGAGGGAATATCTGGACCTAGGTTTCGTATTCGTCAGCATTCGAAGACATGTAATCACGAGAGAACAGATACAAGTGCCTGTTTCTGACGAACACCACCTAGCATCAAACTTTTTCAAGGGTATCCTGACAACTACTTACAACTATCTACAGTCCTAATGTTTTTGTCTCTAGGAGCTTAGTCAAGATAAAACCCGTAATTCGTCAATTCGACAATTAAAAATTCAGATTTTTATAAATTGTGGCAATAAACTATAAGTTAAGATGAAAGCTACTATAATACTGAATAAAACTTTCATTTAAGTCATTGTGTGTCATTACTGTAGAGCTAAAAAACTAACTACTTAATATGTTATATTACATTATGGTGAACTACTCTTCTCTTCATCTGATTTTAGGTATCTCATTTACTTTGGGCTGTTTGGGCAGTAATTTGCGCATCGGAAAAATTATATTCTATGGATTTTCTAGCGTAAGTTATTGTTTCTTTCGATTAAGGATAAATTACAATGTCATTTTCCCATCTTTCGAATGAAAGATGAAAGCAGAATGTAATCGATATATGTTTTGTCCTAGTATGAGACACTACAACGGCAGATATCCATGACCTGGTCATGAATCGACCTTAGGGCTGTAAAGTATCAGGATTAATAATTTGCCGCCAAGTCAATTCACTGATAATCAGTAGTATACATTTCCAAGTTCAGTCGAACTAGGTTACTCGTCATTCTTAGGAACATTCGGTATGATATCAAAAGATGCTAAGATAGTCAATGGTAACCGTTGTACATGTAAATTCATGTATTTCATTCAATGTTATAGAGTTCCATTTGTCACTTCATTTTCACTTAGCCAGTGATCATCAATGTTGAGCCTTAATTAAACACAGCAAGAAACAAAACAATCAACATCTACAACCGTTGACTATGAATGTCATCCGGATTTCGATCCGGACGTTTTTACCTGATGACGTGAATTAAAGCACCAATCAAGAAATTCATGGATAGTTGTCATTTCTTGATCCCTTTACCCTCATCTTTTTTGTAGCCTAAATTCTAGGTCAAGGAGACGGTATTAAACTTGTGTAACATCTATCTTAACTCTCCTAGTTGATTAGAGTTTAGAATCTTACAAATTGACTTTCTTTCTTTATTCAATAACATACATTTAGCCTTAGCGCTTTTCTCTTTGTGCTTCCATGATCTATAAACAATGTTTCACAAGTAGTTATGATCAAATACTTTCAGACTTCATACACTTTCTACCTTCATGATAAATTTTCACAGGCCTAGAGCGAAACAAAGCAGAATGCTAGATAGTTTGCTTACCCCTAAGCTGAAGAGTGCAGTTTAAAAGAAACATCCGTTTAATTGTCACTGAAGCACTACAGATGAGATTGTCTCTTCAATAATTTTATCTTCAGTGTTCTCAATAAACAACCACTGTATGAATAACTTAGACGGGCGGAACATATAATTGTATTTCGCAAATTTAAACACTATTACTTCCCTAAAGAATTTGACTAGATTAAACGACAACGAACTCACTGTTTTAACTTGTTGTTCAACTGCTCATTTTTATCAGTAGTGTCGATTGTAAATTGGTCTATATTTATTGATAATTGTAAAACATTTCCAACACAATACACTGACTTTTTCAAAACATACTGTAAATGTGTTATTTCAAAGTTTAATTCATAATTCGATCTAAACTGGACCATCATTGAAAACTTGTAAGCACTGGATGGCTATTTCGCCCTGGTGTTGAACTCTTCAGGATTGCACATCCACAATACCAAATGTGGGATTCAAACCAAGGACCTTCGGTCTTGCGCATTTCAATTGGGAACCTCTGTCAGACAAAGCTGCTTGCTCTCCGCCTTCCTCTTTCTTCTGATTGTTGACTGGATTATAAAGGCCTCCACATATGACGAGAAGCACGGACAATAATGGACTGCTTGAAGTCAACTACATGATTTCGATAACCTAACTCTTCTATCCCATACACACGAACAAATTCAGGTGAAGACAGAAACTATAGCAGAAGCCTCTACATCAGTAGGCCTCAATATACACAAGGGAAAAAGCAAGATACTCAAATACAACACAGAGACCACCAACCTAATCACACTTGAAAGAGAAACTCTGGAAGATGTAAAAAGTTTCACGTACCTGGCCAATATCATCGATGAACAAGAATGATTCGATTCAGAAGTAAATACAAGGATCGGCAAAATAAATACAGCATTCCTACAGTTGAAGAACACATGGAAGTCAAAACACCCATCAACCAATATCAAAGTCACAATTTTCAATACGAACGTCAAGACAGTTCTACTGTATGGAGATGAAACTTGGAGAACTACTACAACCATCATCAAAATGTACAAGTATTTATAATCAGTTGTCTGCACAAGATACTCAATGTCAGTTGACCGGATACCATCACCAACAGCCTACTGTGTGAGAGAACAAACCAGGTTCCATTTGAAGAGGAAATTATGGAAAGACGTTGGAAGTGGATAGGACACACATTAAGGAAATCATCAAACTGCATCACTAGGCAAGCTCTAACTTTGGATCGTGAAGGGAACAGAAAAAGAGAAAGATCAGAGAACACACTGCGTCTGGAATTGTAAGCAGACATGAAAAGGATGAATAGCGACTAGAACTAAGTGTAAAAGGATTGCTCATGATAGAGTTGGATGGAGAATTCTGGTGAACGGCCTTTGCTTCTCCACGAGTGATAACAGGCATAAGTAAGTAAACTGTCCTCTGAAAACGTTTTCGTGTAATCATCGATGGTTCATAGTAATTCCTTCATCTAATCACGAAAAAAAGAATAGAGGGATAGAAAAATCAAGGATCACACAGAATACATCATAAATGATGTACTAAGCACTTCTCCTATTTCACCCCGACCGTTGGTGATACCTTGACGCGGTGTTCAAGCTTGCCTGCCGTAATGAACCAATCGAGCTATACTTACTGCAACAATCCTTCCTCAAGGTCCTACCATACAAGACAGGTCGGTTGAAGAGCGGTAAGGCCAAAAGCAGTAAACCCAAGGTCCGAAGACGAAGTCGTACTGCTGACTGTACAGAGGTGTGACAGCAGTAAGGTGTTTCCTTCAGATAACCAACATGACAGCGATGCCGCCTTCCCACAAGGAGGGGTGGGGTTAGAAAAGGTTGACCTTAAAAATTCACACCTCACCTTATCCCACGGATATCCGTCTCCGGCGGTAAGGTTCCAACAAGTACTGAGGTAACACCAAAATTACCCACAAAAAAGTTGTGTGTGACCGACCTCCAGCAGTTGTCCCTTTGGCACTGAGGTCACGCTCTCAGGTCATTAAGACCACTCCTAACCCAATTTCCTTTTCAAGTACCTCTAGAAGAACCCTTTCACGATGTGGGCAGCTGGGAAGTGATAACTGCCCTCATACCTTTCAACAGCACTCAAGATTACTGTATTCATAATCAATCTTTCTATTTCAAACTAATAAATCACTTGATATTTATTTATTTTCTTATTTATTATAGTTATGCTGATTCAAGAATGAAACAATATTCTAATATGAAAAAATGGTTACCATCAACTTTTCAATTACCTATTATGTAATTTTTTTTAATATTTTTATATATAAACCAATCAGTTCATGGGAATCTTTTTTTTTCTGAATTTACTATCCTTTTATTTTCATCAGTTTTATTTATAAAATTTGTATATTCAAGGAACTTTCTACTCTGTGTATTTAATGAGAATGTAGTGTATGTGTTACTGATATCGATAGATATAAGTAGTTGTATATTTCATTAATCGAAAGTGAAATGCCTGATGGCAACCAGAGGATTAAGAAGATCGAAGAAAAGAGAACGAGAACAGAGAGTGATTGATGTGCGAATAAAAGAACAATGAAGTCTGAGACAAATGATTGACATTTCGCAAATGAAGTATTTACTGAATGGTTCTCAGATTCGACTAAGAAATTCTGTAATTTTGTATTCAAGTATATTCAATTGTCCCCATTTGTTTGTTCTCGTTTACTATAAAAGTAGTCATCACTTTTCCGTTCAAATGATCCATTAAGAAATGTTCAAAAGGGGTTTTGTGGAGATTTCAGTATTTTCATAATTAAAATAATGAGTCAATTGAAGCTAGACCACCATGGAAAACCTGGATTCGAATCTCGCGAGTCCGGGATCGTGGATGCGCACTTCTGAGGAGTCCCATAGTAAGACATGGTTGTCTAGCTTCAATTGACTCATGATGTTCATTTGAATATACTTATTATAATGATAACATAAAACACAATATAGTGTAAGTTAGTAACCTCTTATAGACAAAATTAATCGAGAATTCAAAGAGTAAGTCCGAGCATAAGTCACTAACAGAATAAACTTATAGCATGATCAAAATGATAATGTGTGAAATTAAGCTTACAACCTCAACCGGAATTAGATATATTAAGTTAGTTTGCATTATTGAATGTTTTTTTTATTTAGACAATGAATATAAGTTATGATGTAGTGAGCAGTTTTTTTTCATCCTATCTCGTATACGACTCTTCAGTCTTGTGCAATCACAACCTCATGAGAGATTGAACTGTAAAACAGTTTGCATATGTAATGAGATCTATATCATTAGTTTACCGAGTTTGAATGCAAAGTTTCACATTTTTAGATTCAGACAGTTCGTGATTTATGAAGATTATCATAAGTTATACTTATCTGATGTATGAAATGGTTGAATTCATCCCCTCGTCAACGAACACTAGGAATCTATCATCTATTTTCAGAGTTAGACACAAAGGATTATATGATTACAATTATGTGCTTCAGACGACACATTGGAGAGTTTTGAGGTTGCTCATAGAGTACTAGGTACAGGTGACGAATCGGTTGATGATGTTACAAACTCTCATTCATTGAGGTGGTTAAGAAATGCGTTAGATATACCTAACAACTATTTACCTTGAAAGATGTCTTTCGGAATAGAAATAGGTTGAATGAAAGCTAGGGGAGGTCAAACCAAAGTATGGCAATAGTCCGTGAAGTCATTGGTTGTTATCTCAAAACATATTGGTAGATGTAAACTACCTGTGTTAAGGTCCAGTTCATAAAAGAGATCAGTAGCTAAAGACATTGGGTAACATGAATCAGAATCCTTCACAATGGCACAGATACATTCACTCATCATCTCGTATTTGTCAAGGCCTATTCTTCCTCATTGTCATTGTTACTACATTATCTATTTTGTTTGTTATATTCCCCATTAATTTCTTCACGATGTGCTAGTCTTGTATTGTGACTTGAGTCAAAGGATATATGTGCCAAGTACTACGTTTCAAACATCTGACTAACTGACGTATATTGAAGACTGTTTCTCCAGTCTGTCCTCAAAATGAAAAATCATTGCAAACTTCCCCTTCTAAATAATAATACTTGTTTTATTAGACTAGTTTATGGAACATACAATGTACTGTATACATTTAATAAACGTAACAGTCAACATGTTGATTAATAAGAATGTTAGTTATTTCTAAGATTAAAATGTTTCATTTACTCAAAAATGTACTCCAATATTTTTTTTCCATTGACGTATGGTCTACTTATATCCATATAAGTAATATATAACGATGGTCAGGCATAGAATGTATTTCAGCAGAAGATCGATAACAAAAGAACGGCACCGGAATGTAATTGGTATGAAAATACATGTACAATAATAATCAAAGACGATGGATTGATATTTGCAAAAGGAACAGTCAAGATTAAGACAGTGAATTGATAGTTTACAAATTAACTGTTTACAGTATGGCTGTTGCATCTTAGTGAGATACTCTGATAACCTGTGTCCGGATATTCTCTACTCGTGCTCTTGTTCACTACACCATTAACATAGATTGTTTTGAGAAATAAATATTCTAAATAGTGATGAAAATGATTCGAAGTAAACAAGAAATTGACAAGATCATCAATTGATCAGTCACTGATGTCATATTTTAGTATGTGCCACTTATGAGGACACATATAAGTATTATATAGCAGAAAATGGAAATGAAATGCTTACCAGTAGAAGAGTAAAATAAAGAAAAGAGGAAAGAAAACAGAAAGCTATTGGAATAACGATAGGATTGCAAGAATGATAGAGTACGTTAAGGACAACTCAAGGAAGATGATGGGCTAATGATGTATTTGACGTAAGACTTTTATATTTTACAAATACACTTTTTAATTTTGCATAAAACAATAAATTAGCTTATTGTATCTCAGTTTTCCCTTACTACAATATGACTTCAGCGATATTTCAGTAACAGTTAATTACGCCTGTTAACCCTACCAGAACATAGGCCGCCAACCAGTATTCTTCAATCCACTCTGTCCTGGGCCTTCCTTTCTAGTTCTATCCAATTCTTAATCATTCTTCTCATGACTATATCCACTTCTCGGCGTAATGTGTTCTTTGGTCTTCTTATTTTCCTTTGACTTTCAGGATTCCATGTGAGGGCTTGCCTTATGATGCAGTTGGGTGATTTCCTCAATGTGTTTCCTATCCACTTCCATTGCTTCTTCCTGATTTCTTCCTCCACTGGAATCTGGTTTGTTCTCTCCAACAGTAGAATGTTGCTGATAGTGTCTGGCCAATGGATCCGAAGTATTTCGCATAGACAACTGTTAATAAACACCTGTATCTTCTGGATGATGACTTTCGTGGTTGTCCAATTTTCCTCCCATTCATGCTAATTTAGGAAAACAAAATTGTGTAACACATGAAGACATTAAGAGACTAAAACTTTGGTATACTTAATCACTGAAATAATGATTAGTAATTTATATGAATGATTGTTAATATTCAATTGTAAAATGGAGTAATGTAAGCTTCACATATTGGAACAATACTAAACTTAGTATTCCTAGTATTGAATTTCATTATTAACTTGCTGCTTGGGTAAGAGAAAATCATGATCGGTTGTTTACCTTGACAGACAGGTAAATAGTCTGACAGGTATTATGTGTTTTATATACCTCCCTAACATTTGTATTTGATTAATGTAGGTTCTTGATTGTTCTAATCAAACGATTTACGTGTTCTTGATCTGAGTTGTTTTGAGGTCTGGTAAAATAGTGTTGGCAAAGTGTCTAGTGTACATCGTGTGAATTATATATAGGGATAAATCGTTCAGTGTTTATCTTAAGCAAATTAGTATCTATTTAGTGTAAACGAGAAATCTGAGAGCTGTTTTGAAAATCTCTTACAATGACTGTTCGGTTATGATTACGTTGTTGTACAACGTTTATGGTCATGTTTATACTGCTTAAAAGTGAATGTAAAGCCAGTATTTGAGTAAAAATATATGAATTTAGTATAAAATCTGCTGTGTTTGATTAGTATCACTCCAAAACGATACATTGATTACACTCTGTATTCATTATCGGGTTTGAGTATGATACAGACAGCCTAAGAGATATCCCTTGAGAGAATCTTGGATTTCTGAATGTTCGTATTGCGGTGTGTGCTACTTATGTCGACAGATATAACTAGTATACATCATCAATCGAAGAAGAAGATAACGAGAACAGAGAGTGATTAATATGGAAATGAAGGGATGATAAAGTCTGATACAAGATATGCTTCAATGTTGTGCTGAAATGAACTAATTTGGTCCCCGCCTATGTTCTCATTTACTACAGTATCTGCACCTCAAAAAATGTTATCCATAGGATTTCATTGATTCGGTTTAGGAAATCTAACTCTAAGATTAATAGTAGTAATAAACAATAATATACTGTGAAAATGCATATAGAATGGACACCAGTTTATGGTCATCATTACGTTGATCGAAATCACTGGATATTAATGATAATCAAACAAGTTTACACTATTTGACAAGACGTTACTTCAAAAGTTTCTACAAACTGAGCATATAGGACAAAATAAATAATCATGTAAAATCAGAAAGGGTTTTGTGGAGATCTCAGTAATTTCATAGTTGAAATCATGAGTCAATTGAAGCTAGACCACCATCGAAAACCTGAAAGCACTGGACGGCCGTTTCGTTCTATTGTGGGACTCTTCAGCAGCGAGCATTCACGATCCCGCCTTGCTAGCAGGATTCGAACCCAGGACCTACCAGTCTCACGCCAGAGCACTTAAGCGATAAACCACTGAGCCGGTTGACATCTAACGATGTTAATGTCTAACTTCAACCAATCCACGAAATTAAGCAACCGTTCACCAATTGTCTTCAGTGAGTTGATATCTCACAACAGACGTAGTTGAACTCCACTGGTCACTGCTTTCCACCACAACTCCAGGACATGTATCTTGAAAATAATCATGTAAAATAATAAAGTGTATGTAGGTTGCATTATTATCATTATTATTATTAATGGCTTTATATAATATTTTAATCTGGTACAATATAGAATTCTCAGTAAGAGTTATTTCAACAAGTTTTTTACCAAAAAAACAAACAACAACAAAAACAGAACAGAAATAAGAAAAAGGTTTAAGAAAAAAACTGAGTTTATACAAATTATCAAATTTGAAACATGCTTAAGAAGACAAGTTATTTACTAAGTCAACTCTAACAGCCTGTTCGTCACAAAGTAAATTTGCTAGGTAAGATATTACAGAACTTTTATAGATTTGCTTCCGTGTATGCATTTTAATGTATTTACGTCTCGTTCTACCAGAAGATATACAAGGAGAAAGATATGAATGAAGCGGATGGTTAGTATCTGATAAGATAACACCTGCCAAGAGTTTGCAAGACTTAAGATGTCTATCCACAAGCATATTAACAATGACTTGGAAAGATTCACAACATACCTTGCAAACCGCCTTCAGCACTCTACGCAAAATAGCAAAGTCTTTTCTCAAAAGCCCAGGAAAGAATAATGGAGAACAATATAGAATAATAGGTAAGATGCAGGAATTTACAAATTGTAAGAGTAAATGGCGAGTAATCCCAAAAGCATGCAGCTTCTTTATGTAGTATGTCAAACGGTTAACTTTTTTCGATAACAGTAAAACATGAGAAGACCAAGAAAGATCAGAGGAAAAAATGACACCAAGATATTTGACCTTCGACACTGTGTTTATTAAGGAGTCTCCAATGGCACAAGCATTATGGGATCCCAAAATAGAGTGTAGGTTCTGTCCATGTCTCAAGCTAAAATTAACAGCTTGACATTTAGATGGATTGAGTAAGAGACCATTACCAACAGACCACCTTTCAATACGAGATAAAAACTCATTCCTTTCTATGGGATGTAAGGAGGTAGAAATTGGCATACATACAGTGAAGTCGTCCGCATATTTTACAAAAGTGTTTTCTGTGGAAGATGGCAGATCATGCAGAAAAAAAGAGAAGAGCAGAGGTGAAAGAACAGTTCCTTGTGGCACACCTACATTAGACAGTAGAGATGTTGAACACTTTCCTTCAAATACAGTGTACTGTTCTCTTCCAGAAAGGTAGGAACATAGCCAATTGATTATCCAGCTGTCAGTGTCGACGCTGATCAGCTTGTTAAGTAAAAGGTGTCTCGGAATAGAATCAAAAGCAGAAGTAAAGTCCAGGAAAGCGCATCTAACATACTTCTTACCCTTTTCCAACCCGAACACTATATTGTGATGCAGAACAGCAACGGCATCTAATGTGCTTCTTTTGCATTTGTAAGCAATCTGAAATGGATCACAGTGCTCTTTTATTGCAGGTTGAAGTGGTTGTATCAGTAATTTTTCCATTATTTTGAGGAAAGGTGAGGTTATTGCAATGGGTCTAAGTTTCACATTTTTATCACCAGAAGCTTTCTTTGGTATAGGGATTATCTTTATCTTTCTCCACATTTTCGGTAAGACATTAGTTGAGAAGAATCTGTTAAAGATATTCGTTAATGGATAACATAAAACATCAGCACATTTTTTTAAAAAGGAGGTTTGGGATACCATCAGGTCCTAAACATTGGGATGAATTAAGTGACTGGAGACATTTTCGGACATCATTTTCAGTAAAACTGGGAACACAATTATTCTTCAGACCCTTGGATATAGAGAGCATGATGTCAGATGACTGACGTATAAAGGACTTATTTAAGCCACAAACATTCAGCTGGTTATCGCTTCTAGTCTGCCTGTCCCCTGTAATTTCTTTAAAGAGTTTTCACATACTTGGAGAGTGATATCATTCTATATTACAGCATTCTTAGTTGTTTACAATCCATAATAAATAATAAAGTCCTATTCAATTATCTTCCAATACTCTTTATGTTTCATTGTCTGGTGAGTCTTGTCGCCACACGAATAGATTATCACAAGGTACCATCTAAACCAGAGATTTGACTATTATGGTTTCCACAATCTACATATCACCATGTGCATTGTGCAATAAACATGAGGATGAGATAAAAAAATATCACCGTCACTGAAAGCACACTTGAAAAACATCACATATTACGGAAAGTTTTGTCATCAGTCTTAATTCTATCCTAAATTGTGTTATCTACTGAGATAATTAATAAGTAGGATACTAATACTTTCACAAAATAATAATAATAAATATTTTCACAAAGGGATTTTGTGGAGATTTTTGTAATTTTATGGATGAGATCATGAGTCAATTGAAGCTAGACCACCAGCGAAAACCTGGAAGCACTAGACGGCCATTTCGTCCTATTGCGGGACTCCTCAGTGGGAGTGCGTATCCACAGTCTCGCCTCGCGAGATTCGAACCCAGGATCTAGCAGTCTCGCGCCATAGCACTTAACCGATAGACCACTGAGCCGGCACAGTTGGATGCCGGCTGATTAATATCAGAAGGAGTTTTGTGGATATTATAGTAATAATAGTGACCAGGTTCATGAGGTAATTCCTGGAGTTATTGTTACGTTGTACCTTTAATGTCCAATTTAGTTTCAACAATGAAATATATAGACAAAGAGATGGGATTGCAATGGGATCTCCATAAGGTCCAATTATAGCAGACTGCTTCATGGCAAAACTAGAAAACAATCAACTCAGTTCAATGATAAATCGATTCCAACTATACGTAAGATACATAGACGACACATTTATCGTTTGTGACGATAATATTGATTTGGACGATATCTTACACTCCTTTAACTCATGCCACCCTTCCATAGACTTTACATTAGAAAGAGAGAAAGACCAATCAATCACTTTTCTTGATATACATCTATTGAGAAGAAGTAATGGTTCTTTGAAAAGATCTATCTTTAGAAAGCAAACATGGAATGGCCAACTAACCAACTTCTATAGCTGGGTTCCGTTAAGTAGAAAGAGAAATTTGATTCATTCTTTATGCTATCGGATATGTAGTACGGAATGCATTAACGAAGAACTCGAGTTCCTCAAGAAAACTTTGATGAAAAATGGCTACCCAGACCGATTCATAGAAAAGAATATGAATAGAAGTAGCGTCGATAGGAATCCTAGTTATTTAGTCCCAAAGAAAAGCCTTTATATAAGTCTGGGATTTAAAGGTGATCGAACATCAGACATAATTAAAAATCGTTTAACAGCAACGATTAAAAGGACATTTAACGCTGCTAAACTACGAATAACCTTCACTAGTAAGAACTTATTTTCTGTATCCATAAAAGATAAGCTTCCGCGTTTGGTCGCCTCTATGTGCATCTACCAGTTCACCTGCTCTTGTGGAGCAAGTTACATCGGCCGTAGTCAGCGTTCGCTGTCAACCCGGATACGAGAACGTATATCAGTTTGGTTCTACAATAGTGGAAAGAAAGCAGTCAGAAGTTTCATACTTGAACACTTAATCGACTGTAATCATTCTACGGATCCACAGTCTGATTTTAAGGTTGTTTATATGATTCGTTCAAATCTACCAAGATTTCTTTATATCAAACTCCTAAAAATAGCCGAAGCTCTTACCATCCATGAGCCCAAACCAGAACTATGCGTACAAAAGAAGTATGTTTTATCATTATCGTTACCATGGCCTTAATATTATTATTAGTATCATTCTGTTATTATTATTATTATTATTATTATTATTATTATTATTATTACTCCATCATATACTGATCATATCATCATCTTATTTATTTTACACCTCTATGACCTTTAATGACCTTTAATTATTGTAACCAAAACATTTTATCCGTCTTACTATATTCACTAAATCTATTGTTGTCATTCATATTACGTAATCTAGTATTATAATCTTGGTTATTAGTGTTCACATTTCCTCACGGAATTACTACTTTAACAAAACATTTTCAGATATATATATACGATTGTATAGTATGATAATAAATTCGTTGAAAAGAGATCCCTTCGCTGAACTTTGTGTTTTTAATTTTAATGTTTAAATGGGAATTATATGCCAATTCCTGGAGTTCTAGTGAGAAGTCGTGACCAGTGGAGCTAATCCATGTCAGGTAGAAAGGGGTATCTACTTCAGTACAATGGAAATCGGTCACGCGATTTCGTGGATTGGTTAAGGTTAGAAATTAAGACCGTTGGATTCCCGCTCAGTGGTCTATCGGTTAAGTGCTCTGGCGCGAAACTGTTAGGTCCTGGGTTCGAATCCCGCTCACGAGGCGGGATCGTGAATGTGCAATGCTGAGGAGTCCCACAATAAGACGAGACGGTCGTCTAAATACTGTGCTTCCATGTTTTCCATGGTGGTCTAGCTTCAATTGACTCATGATCTCATCTATATAATAAACATTTTATTCTATATAACATGTTTGTTTATATTAAGGAAATTTTGAGGATAAATTATGCAACAGAAAAATTTTGTCATCTAACCTTTGTAGCAAAGATAGATGGTGGCTAGGAAAATGAATCCAGGGCTTGCGTTTAGTCCTATTTGGGACTTTTCATCTGGATGTATCTACATTCAAGGATTGATATTCACTCCGGGACTGATCAATTAAACAAACAATACAAAAACGCATTATCCATCTAACTTTTAAATATGCTAGAAAATATCTATTAAAGACATTTCTCAAC